GAAAAGAAAAAAATGTAAAGACGTAACACCGGGGAAAGGGAAGGCGAGAGTCAGCGCCGCCGTGGGAAATGGGTGACCTACCACGTGGAAGGACAGAGTGCTGGGGTCCGTGTCTTCCACGGGCTCCTCGGCCATGTGACCTGCAGGAAAACACAGCAGGGAGAATGTCCGTCAATGGAAACGCACACGTGTCCTCCGATAACCTTCTTCGCGCGGCGCACACGCTGCCGTGGTCGCGCCGAGAAAAACTTACTTCCAGTCGTCGGCGGAGACAAAATAAGAAGGGATGGCTTCAGACTGCACCCGAAAGAGATGAAGACAGTCTTTATTTATTTTTTTAAATATTTGGGAACGATTTATGGACACGTATCTACAAATACTCAGAGTTACGAATAACCAGAAACCACGCAGGCGTGGCCTGGGCAGCTCTCCTGCTGGATCCGATTAGAACGTGAAGCAGGAGTTACTGAATTCGGCTCCTGCTTCCTCCCGTTTCCTGCTCCTCTGCGATCCATTTTTAAAAATATATATATTTTATTGATTTTTTTACAGAGAGGAAGGGAGAGGGATAGAGAATTAGAAACATCGATGAGAGAGAAACATCAATCAGCTGCCTCCTGCACACCCCACAGTGGGGATGTGCCCACAACCAAGGTACATGCCCTTGACCGGAATCGAACCTGGGACCTTTCAGTCCGCAGGCCGATGCTCTATCCACTGAGCCAAACCAGTTAGGGCATCTGCGATCCATTTTTATCACATTAAAAATATTAAGCGTCTGAGTGTGGTTCGTGTGAATTACTAAAGTCATACATCCTCACCGGGCCATAGCCGGTTTGGCTCAGCGGACGGAGCGTTGGCCCGAGGACTGAAGGGCCCCAAGTTCAATTCCGGTCAAGGGCACGTACCTCGGTTGCTGGATCCCCGGCCCGGTTGGGGTACCGATGTGTCTCTCTCACATCGATGTTTCTCTCTCTCTGTCTCTCCCCCTCCCTTCCACTCCCTCTAAAAATCAATGGAAAAATATCCTCAGGTGAAGGTTAACAAAAATACCTCACAGAATCTTTTTATCTATTTTTAATCCTCACCCAAGGATATGTTCTTTTATTAATTTTATTTTTTAAATTAATTTATTTTTAAAATTATACCTTTATTGGTCTCAGAGAGGAAGGGAGAGGAAGGGAGATAGAAACATCAATGATGAGAGAGAATCATGGATTGGCTGCCTCCTGCACGCCCCACACTGGGGTTGGAGCCTGCAACCCGGGCCTGTGCCCTGACCAGGAATCCAATTGTGACCTCCTGGTTCATGGGTTGACGCTCAGCCACCAAGCCACGCCGGCTGGGCCCAGCATCAACCCTAAATCCACACTCTCAACTACTCATCCTCTCTAAGACCCAAATCTCATCATCTCTGGAAGCAGGATCCCCGGGAGCCTGGGCAGGGCACCCAGCTGCCTTTCCAGTAGGAATGCCCACGCATCGCCCATCACAGACGCCGGCGAGCTACCCAGCAGCCGCCACCCTGTCCCGTTCGGACATCGGCCTCCATTAGTCACATTAGATCAAGGTCAACCGTTCCTAGACAGTGTCCTCAAGGCCATTCAAGGATCTGCTCGAATGGTGTCCTTTCAGAGAAAACAAAGACGAAAGCGAGTTCGTTTCCCAAATTTCCAGCATCTCGAGTCAAAAGGGCTTTCGTGCTTTCTATGAAGAATGACAGGGGATGCCCGGCCAGCGTGGCTCAGGGGTTGAGCGATGACCTATGAACCATGAGGTCACAGTTGGATTCCCGGTCAGGGCACATGCCTGGGTTTCATGATCGATCCCCAGTATGGGGCGTGTAGGAGGAAGCCAATCAATTATTCTCTCATCATTGATGTTTCTCTCTCTCTCCCTTTCCCTTCCTCTCTGAAATCAATTTAAAAATTTTTTTTAAAGAAAAGGTCACTCTGGCCACCGTTTGGTGAATGGGTTAGTGGAAGGCACACGGAGTGAAACACCATCTGGGAGATGAGTTGGGAAATGAGGCGAGAAAGGATGGTAACCCAGGGTGGGGTGGGGAAAGGGAGAGGCCATTTACCAAGTTCCTGGGACAGCACCACGCGTGGCATCATTCCCTGTAGAGGTGAGAGTGAGGGCAGAAAACTCCTAAGAGGTGAGGCCTGAGGAAGATTTGAAAATCCAAGTGAGATTGGAGAACCATCCAGATTCTGGCCTTACTAGTAGGCACACACAGAGTTATAATATATACTTTTTAATCCTCACCAGAGGATATATTTTTCCCCATTGATTTTTAGAGAGAGTGGAAGAGAGAGGGAGAGACGGAGACGTCACATCAATTGGTTGCCTCCTGCACATACCCTTGACCAGAATCGAACCCGGGACCCTTCAGTACGCAAGCCGACGCTCTATCCACTGAGCCAAACCGGCCAGGGCTAAACACAGTATTTTAAAGCAAGGACAGGACTAGAGGCCCACCTAATCAGAGACCGCCCCCACCCCCCGAGGTGGGGTCCCCCCAGGTGGATCAGGCTCTGGGTTTGGAGATGCTGGTGTCTGTGCAATAGCTCGAGGGCCCATATTTAGGACAAACCCATTCAGCACAAGTGAAGTGAGAAGCGGAGAAGCGAGGAGGCCTGAGAGAGGGAGGAAGGGAGAGGCCGAGGCGCAGGGGAATCCACCTTCTTCTCCACCAGAGGTGGGAGGACTTGTCCCAACCTGGCGCAGGAGCGCAAACAAAAGCGCTGGGGAGGTGGGGGGCGGAGGGGGCGGAGGGGGCGGAAGGCGCGTCCGGGGCACGCGTGAGAGATGGGGGCAGGGGAGGGGGGCGGAGGACCTCGTGCTCAGGTCCCCGGTCGGCCCCCCGAGGACCCGGACCGGGCGCCCCTCGGGGGTCCCGCGACACTCGGGCCCCCACACCCCAGGTGAGCGCGCGGCGCGGCACCGCTTTACCTGCGCGCAGAGGGTCCTCCGGCGAAGCCATGGGGCGGGCGGGTGGGGAGACGGCGCCCGAGCGGGGCCCGCAGCCTCCGGACCGGAGGGAGCGCACGGCGGGGACGGGGAGCCTGCGGTGGGGACGCGCGGAGCACACGCCGGCCTGCGCCCCTCCTCCAGCCCGGCTCCCGCTCCTCCTCCTCGCCCTCTCCTCCTTCTCTCCTCCTCCCGGCTCCTCCTCGCGCTCACTTCCTGCTCCGGCAACTAGGGGAGCCCCTGAGCCCCGGGTCCTGGGTCCCTCCTGCAGCACCGGGCCGGCGAGCGCGGGAACGGTCGGGGTGCCCGTGCGCCCCAGCCCCGCCATCCCTCCTGCCCGCGCGCGCCCAGGTGCGCCCAGTCCCGGAGCAGCGGGAGACATCACCCTTAAAACCCGCACAGGCCCCGCCAGGCCTGGCTCAGTGGTTGAGCGTGGACCTACGAACCTGGAGGTCACCGTTCTATTCCCGGTGAGGGCACACGCCCGGTTTCGGCTGGATCCCTGGTAGGGGGCGTGCAGGAGGCAGCCAATCCATGATTCTCTCTCATCACTGATGTTTCTCTCTCTCTCTCCCCTCTCCATTCCTCTCTGAAATCACTAAAACTATATTTTTAAGAAAAGATGGTTATACTTTAAACCTATCCTCAACCACCAATCTGTTATACAAAGACGATGGGCAACTCATTTAAAAGGAATCTCTTAAGGGTTTTAAAATAATCTATGTCTGCTTTCAGCACATAAGAATAGAAAGAATGTAGGCACCCTTATGTTCACAGCAGCACAATTACAATAGCTAAGATCTGGAAACAGCCCGAGTGCCCATCAGGAGAGGAGTGGATAGAAAAGCTGTAGGACATTGACCCCCGTGGAATACTATGCAGCTGTAAAAAAAAGAAGAATCTCTTACCCTTTGAGACAACATGGAGGGACCTGGAGAGTATCATGCTAAGTGACATAATTCAGTCAGAGAAAGACAAGTATCACATGGTCACACTCACATGTGGAATTAATTAACAAAATAAACTGATGAGAGAAAAAAGAATAGAAAGATAGGAATTGGTTTGAAAGAGGTCTTGTAATGGCTTTTAGTGCACAATATTAACAAGTAAGTCATTGGAAAGGAGCCACCGCTAGCTGAAGCCTCAGCTCTGAGCATTGCCGGAAAGCATCGAAGGTCTACGTACCGTGTTGGCGCCCAGGGCCTGGCTGCGTCCCTCTCGCCACTTGCTGGGTGGTCCTGAAGCCCATGGCGCTCTCAGGATGGGCTTTATTCTCTGAAATGTGCTATGAAGACATGAGGCACCCGGAGCAGGGTCCCGCCCTGTGTCTAAGGAGAACAGTACCTCCCAGACGAACGCTTTCCGGGGAAATTCGTGGGTGGGAGGATCCACTTCCTCTCCGCCTGCCCCCTGGTGAGAAGGGAAATTTTTTTCTGGGTATTTTCTCTTAGAATCGAAGCTGAGGTCGGGTGTGTGGTTCACTCTGTAGGTCTCTTGATTATGAAAGGGTTACTGAGGGTGGTTATCAGAAACCACCGATCAGGCTGGGCTCTCTGATTAGCAGCACAACCTAAGGAAACGGAGCAGTGCTCTAGAGCTGGTTTGCTTTTCAAAGCTCTAAACTATTTATTCCATCTTCTTATCGCTCCCATTCTTTAAAATATATATATATATATTTTATTGATTTCTGAGAGGAAGAGGGAGAGAAAGATAGAAGCATCAATGATGAGAGAGAATCATGGATCGGCTGCCTCCTGCACGCCCCACACTGGGGTCGAGCCCACAACCAAGGCATGTGCCCTGACCAGGAAGCGAACCCTGACCTCCTGGTTCATAGGTTGATGTTCAACCACTGAGCCACACTGGCTGGGCTATTATGTCAAATAGCAGATGAGTGGCAGAAATGCATCTTAAGGTTAGTTTTTAAAATATATATATATATATTTTATTTATTTATTTATTTATTTTTTAATATATTTTATTGATTTTTTACAGAGAGGAAGGGAGAGGGATAGAGAGTTAGACACATCGATGAGAGAGAAACATCGATCAGCTGCCTCCTGCACACTCCCTACTGGGGATGTGCCCGCAACCAAGGTACATGGGGCCCTTGAGTCCACAGGCTGACGCTCTATTAACAAATATATATGTATATTTTATTTCAGAGAGGGAGAGAGAGAGAAACATTAGTGATAAGAGAGAATCATTGATTGGCTGCCTCCTGCACGCCCCCTCCTGGGGATTGAGCCTGCAACCTGGACAAGAGCATGGAACCGTGACCTCCTGGTTCATAGGTCAGTACTCCACCACTGAGCCATGCTGGCCAGGCATTCATTTTTTAAAAGAAAGACTGGATATATACATTGATTTTTATTCCCTTTCATTCCGCCTTTCTTATGAATTGCAACCATACCCATAATTACCTTTATTTTTCCCACGGGCTGTGTAAACTATAAAGAATGGAAGCTATTGTTGTGACAACTGAAAAAAAAGCAATTTAAAGACAATTTTTAGGCACTGGAGGTCCCAAAGGGTTCTGACACAGTCTGTTTGCTATCACACTATACCTTCTTGCTTTTCCTCTTGTTGCTGCTCGGAGTGTTTTAAAACACTCTTTACAATGGACATTTTCAACATTTCTCAATAGCACCTCGATATGCATGAATCTCGGAATCACGTGTTAAATTTCATGCGGCCATGGCCACACTGTTCTGCGACCTCCAGTTGTTCTTTTCCCCCAAACAGGCTTGCAGACTTGGTAACCGTGGAATCAGACGTTGGATTTCACTCATGCACCTGTCACCACGAGTTTGTGCTACTTTAGCAAGTAACCAAAACGCAGCGTCTATATGCATTTGCAGACAAAAGCATTGGAAGTGGTTTTTCAGGCACCAGGGAGCCAGGAAGTGAGGTTTGGAGAAGTGGCGCTTGAAAATTGGTTGTGTGGTTTTTTAAAAATATTTTATTGATTTTTCACAGAGAAGAAGGGAGAGGGACAGAGAGCCAGAAACATCAATGAGAGAGATCGATCAGCTGCCTCTTGCACGCCCCCCACTGGGGATGTACCTGCAACCAAAGTACATGCCCTTGACCGGAATCGAACCTGGGACCCTTCAGTCTGCAGGCTGACACTCTATCCACTGAGCCAAACCGGTTCGGCAAAAATTGGTGTTTTTGGAGGATTAGTCTGGCAGCTGAGTGGAGAAGAGAACAGAGCAAGGAGGGGACGCGGGCGGAGAGACCATGTAATCTTTAAACACACTGTAATTTATCACAGAGTTCAGTGTGTATCCTTGTCTAAATGGGAGGGAGACGCATATGTCAGAATGCAAAATGTTCTTTTGTTGCCTTGTTAAGCATTCATGGTTTCCCACGAATGTATAACAGTGACGGATTCCAAAAAGGTTATCAAACTTAAATAAGTAAAGCATTACCATTTCTGATGCTTTGAGTCCTGTTCTGTTTGATGGAGCACAACATTCTGGCACATAGATTTAAGCACAAGTCATTCTAGAAGGTTCCTCCACTTCTCGCTTAGGCAGGCAGGAACCGTCTAGTGCAGGAGATGAAACCTCACTTTCCCAGCTTACTTTGAATTATTTGCCCATTAAGCCCTGGCCGGGTGGCTCAGTTGGTTAGAGCATCGTCCTGATACACCAAGGTTTCAGGTTTGATCCCAGGTCAGGGCACATACAAGAATCAACCAATGACCCGGCCGGCGTGGCTCAGTGGTTGAACATCGACCTATGAACCAGGAGGTCACGGTTGTATTCCCAGTCAGAGCACATGCCCGGGTTGTGAGCTCGATCCCCAATAGGGGGCGTGCAGGAGGCAGCCCATCCGTGATTCTCTCTCATCATTGATGTTTCTATCTCTCCCTCCCCCTCCCTTCCCCTCTGAAATCAATAAAAATATGTTTTACAAAAAAAAAATAAATAAATAAAAGAATGGATACATGCTAAACTCATAACCAGGTCTGATCATGGCCATCTCTGGGAGGGAGTAATGCTTAAAGAGACTTTAGCTTTGTTTCCGAATGCTCGAATTTTACATATGAATAGTTATGTATGTCTAATGTGATTTTAAAATCATTTTAAATAGAAAACTTAGAAATGATTTTCACAAAGGTGCCTGCTTCATCAAATCAGTCTTGACCTGCCTAACCCCCCAAACACAGTCCCACAGACAAACAGGAAATCAATAGCTGATGTTTTCCATTTTACAGAATACATTGCGGCTAGTCTATTTCAGGCAATGGAGACTTTTCCCATCTGGTTTACACCATTAGCATTTCCCTCCTTCGCGTCACGCTGCTTTCATCCATTTTAAGTTTCAAACAGGCTTATACTGTTATCGATCGGGTTTTCTTTGGGGAACATAGAACATGACGAAGGGAGAAAAAGAATGAGCGAGGAGGGTGCAGTGCGCCAGAGGGAAGGTAGGGGGCAGCAAAGGCACATGAGGGTGCGGAGGCTCGGCCTGGGCCTGAACCCCTGGAAACCCACATCCCTAACAGCAGGGAGAGGAGAGGAAAGAACTGGGACTTTTTAAGTTACCAATGGCACCATTCGCATGGAGAGAAGTTTAATTCGGGTGAAGCAAAGAGAATTTTATTTTATTTATTTAAATATACTTTTATTGATTTCAGAGAGGAAGGGAGAGGGAGAGAGAGAAACATCAATGGTGAGAGAGAAGCATGGATCGGCTGCCTCCTGCATGCCCCACACTGGGGATGGAGTCTGAAACCCGGGCATGTGCCCTTGACTGGAATCGAACCCGGGGCCCTTCAGTTCGAGGGCCGATGCTCTATCCACTGGGCTAAACCAGCTAGGGCCCACATTCTCTTTAGTCGCAGTGGTTCTCAACCTTCCTAATGACGCGACCCTTTAATACAGTTCCTCGTGTTGTGGTGACCCCCAACCATAAAATTATTTTCGTTGCTACTTCATAACTGTAATTTTACTACTGTTCTGAATCGTAATGTAAATATCTGATATGCTATATGTGTTTTCCGATGGTCTCGACCCACAGGCTGAGAACCGCTGAGTGGGTATTCAGTTCAATGAAGAGTCAATAAATGTTGCTCATTGACTGCTGTTCCTTTGTTAATGCAATTTGGGGTCCAGTTTAATCTCCGAAGACACCTCCCTCCGAACCAGGCCCTAAAGGCAGGAGGCAACTCCTCCAACAGACGTGCGCTTGGGGACTCCTACAAAGACAGAGCGGGGAACACCCTTGTCGGGGGGCTGGTGAAGACCAATTCCTGGAAGCCCATTACTCCGGGAGTTTGGGGTGCTTTTTCTCAAGCACCATTTGCAGTGTCTGTAGCGAATGGTTTCGAATGGAAGGCTTGGGACTGGAGTAGATGAGTAGAACGCTTCAGAGACTTGTGGGAGCAATCAACTTGAGCTAAGGGTTTGCGTTTCCAAGATACCGCCAAGTGCATCGTGTGTCCGCGGGTTGATGGCTTGGTTAACCCGTGACTTCTAACGAAGGAGGCGCTCGCTGATGAGCGGTTCCAAACGGGAGTGAAGGTAATGGGGTGGAAATTTAATAACCCCAGTAATTTTCACGCTGAGCGGTGACTAATGAACCTGCTGAGCCCTGGCAATCTGTCCTGTTTAAACAACTGTATTTGTAGATGGTGCTGGTGTGCTAACAACGGCAATTGTTTGTGGGGTTTTTTTTTTTTTTCTGTTTAAGTGGCTTTCTACTTCTCACTTTGTTACAAAGGGAGTTTTTGCTTGATGATAGGATTTCTGAATTTACCCAGGGAAGTTCTTCCCCTTTTCTTTTGACAAGTAATAGGGATTAAAAGCAATTAAGCGAAAGAACTTGGCCCGCCTGTGGCGTGTGAGTAGTTATCTTTAAACGTATTCACGCTTTTCTGTACTGTTTACTCAGCTGCGATGCTCTCAAGCATTCTCACTTAACAGCATTAAAGCTGATAAACTTGAGCCAGATTTATTTCCATTTCTAAAGGAGTTTACCTAGTGGCCGGTGGTTTGGATAAACCATTTGTATAACAAACATATTGGGGCATGCTGGAAGTTAATATATAATGTGATCAAGGGGAAAGATCTATTCAAGCTAAAAAAATTGGGAAAACTGGAATCACAATGCTGCCAATTTCTTCCTCCCTCCTAATTTCTATAACGCAAAAGACTTCAGCTAATCACCATGTTCTGAATAACCACCTGCACGTTGGGGGTCTGATTGGACCCACAGTCCTACTCACCCCCCCACGCCTCCGTCCTGTCCACTCCACACAGGGCCCAGGGCTCATCACAGTGGGGGCGGCACCCAGATGGTTTGTACAACGGAAAAACAAACCTCCAGGAAGTAGAAACAAGGTCATGGACAAGGTCACGGACACAGTGACTGCAGGAGGGAAAGAAAGAGAAGGTCACAGGTGGTCCTACGTGGCTGCTGAAGGTTTAAATGGCATCAGTTGTCAACTAAGAAGCACCTCAAAAGGCTGCCATTCTCGCCCAACTGGCGTGGCTCAGTGGTTGAGCGTCAACCTCTGAACCAGGAGGTCACAGTTCGATTCCCAGTCAGGGCACATGCCCGGGTTGTGAGCTCGATCCCCAGTGTGGGGCGTGCAGGAGGCAGCTGATCCATGATTCTCTCTCATCCTTGATGTTTCTCTCTCTCTCTCTCTCCCTTCCTCTCTCTGAAATCAATAAAAAAATATTTAAAAACAAACAGGCTGCCGCTCTTGGGTCAGTGTTCCTGATGGACAGGAATGGCCGTGAGGAAGGGGGACTTAGCTCATTCGTGACTCGGGCCACTTAAATGGAATCGCTTTATACAAAGTTCATGTGAGGGGGATGGAGACTAAGAGGAATCTCACATGCAGACTTTCAACCCCACGGGCTGTGCAAGCAGGGCCTGGGGCCTGGGTACTTCCTCGCCCAGGGATGAGGAGTCCCACCCTGAGGACTTGCCACCTGTGTGGGCATCGTCTCCCTTGCAGACCCAGTGTGCACTCTCCTTTACTTTTTCTTCTTTTAATGTATTTTTTATTGATTTCATCGAGGAAGGGAGAGGGAGAGACAGAGAGAAACATCAATGTGAGAGCGACACATTGATTGGTTGCCTCCTGCAGGCGCCTGCACCAGGGCTGGAGATTGAGCCTGCAACCAAGGTACGTGCCCTTGACTGGAATCGAACCTGGGACCCTTCAGTCCTCAGGCCGACGCTTTACCCACTGAGCCAAACCGGCTAGGGCTGCAGTCTCCTTTGTTCTGCTGACCTGTGTGCCTCCGATGGCACCTGGCCAACCCCACTGCTGTGTCTGTCCCATTGGGGGGGGGTCCCCTCTGCTGAAGCTCCAAAAGGTGCCGAGAGCTAGGGGAACAGACCCCCAAGGCCTATTCAAGCTGGCGTGCTCGCCCTGTCTCTGTGTGAGCGAAGCTTTCCTACCAGGCCCTGGGCTGTTGTGTTGTCTTTTGGCGACTGGGAGACACAGTGGGCAGTGTTCAGACTTCTGATGAGAAGCAGCTGATGAACTTGCTTCAACAAAAACAAACAGAGGCAGGGGACAGGGTGTCCCCAAGAATGTATACACACGGGAACAGCTGAGAGTTCAGTTTTGAAATGAATGCAGCATATATAGCCACCTTTACATATCCAAAGGGGGTGTACACATTTTGGGGACACCATGTATATAGACAAGTAGAGGAACACCCGCCCTGTGATAGTCCCTGGGAAATAGTGCTGCCTGGCAATTCTCAATGATCATGACTATTGGATTGGGAGTTATTTAGGTAGGTAGGTAGGTAGGTAGGTATGTTAACCCCCACCCGAGGATTTTTTTCCATTGGTTTTTAGAGAGAGTGGAAGGGAAGGGGGAGACCCAGAGAGAGAGGAACATCGATGTGAGAGAGCCTCCCCCCCCCCCCCCCCACCACGGCTGGGATCCGGCCCGAAACCCGAGGTATCTAACCCAGGATCCTTCAGTCCGCAGGCGGATGCTCTATGCACTGAGCCAAACCGGCCAGGGCCATCCATCCTGGAATCCATTTCGAGGGGAGCATCACGGTATTCCCGTACAGATGGGAAACGGAGGCACCCAGCGCTTAAGGTGCATTGTTTGTACGTGTCAACCTAGCGGTGGGAGTGGGGCGGGCAGAGGGTGACATCATCACGTCTGGGGCTTATTAAGCGGAAAGAGGGGTCGAAGCCACGGTGCCCCACGAAGCCCCCGCAGTGGATTAGGCCACAGGACAGTAACTGAGACAAAGCAAGCACCCCGGACTCCAAGTCTCAGATGATGCTAACGCACGTGGGTACTGGGCTAACCTGGGGCGCCTGGCGTTGCGGGGTCAGGAACCACGACACAGGAGGCCTGGCCGCGTTTCCAGGACAACCGCGGGGGGAGGGGCGGCCCTGCTAAGCCCCGCCCGCGCTCTAGTGTTTTTGGGGCCCGCGTGGTCCCATCTCATTGGCCGCCGAGAAGCCCGAGCTCGAGGGGCGGAGTGGCCTCTGCAGCGCAGGTCCAGGTTCGCTCCGCCACGGCTTCCCTTCCGGGCGGACTACAATCCCCACAAGGCCCGCGCTCGGGCGTGGCCGGCACAGAGGCGTGGCCGAACGCGGGGCGGGACCGGAGGGCTGGCTCCGGGATGT